TGGCGGCCCAAAGATCCTAGTATGACGTCACGAGTGGTCGGAGGTTTTTCGTGTTCTCTCGCCTTTAGTCACATCTTCGGAAAAAACGAACGTGATATTCAGATTCACGAGATAAAAATACGCCAAAATTCACCTCTATCTCGTTTTTGGCATAACTTTGAGAGCCGCACAGATGAGCATCTGTGCCCGTTTGCTCTAAGCGCTAACCGCGGTTAAAGTTAGCCGCAGTACCTAGGAGAGGGATTTTGAGATCACGTGACTGGCTCGGTAGGGATGCGGGGAAACATGGCAGTGCCCCAGTGAGTGAGCGCCGGTCGCTTTGCAACTAATATGTCGTTGTAGCTGCAATATCGGGCGCGTTAGTCAGCAACGAATAATGCAGGAGGCTTTCGCTTTGCTTTACCTCACTTAAAACGCAAAGCATGGGCAATGACATCGCCGAATTTTTTTTATAGTGTTTCGATTCTGGGCATTCCTAACCCGAAATGAACGCGATAATTGTCGGCATGGTAACGTCTTTGGAAAGCGGATTGTTGATGGCACACAAAAGCGGACAGTGTCCCGACAGACTTTTTTCTAAATTATCCAAGCATCGCGAGGAGAACGCTGGAAGTGTAATTCTACGGTTCACGCGCGCTGGCCTTCCTCTTATAAAAGATTTGAAGTAAAAAAATCATAATAAGGCTTCAACGAACGCGCGTGCAAGGCAAAATTTGTTTTATACTTTTTGCTTCAGAACGGTTACTACTGCAGACGCCAGCACGTGTGACGCGTGCAACTACAGTCGTAGCGTGCACCTCGGTGCTTGGATAATTTAGGGTGCCTTTATGTGCACTTTGCTCAGGGTGGAGACATCTCGCCATTTTTTTTTCAACTTTTACATTTATTTTTTGTTCAGAAGCGCGTGAAAGAAGGTGTCCCTGCACGCGTCTGTAACGCTGACTGTGCTATGGCGACATTTTGTTTTCGTCGATTTCTTTCTATTTTCCCCGTAAGCGCGTGCTGTCGTCCTCGGGTACTACGAAGGGTGTCATCACACTAAACAGAAGGCCATTGAGGCACCCTGGGATAATTTAGAAAAAAGGTCTGTTGGGACGCCGTCTGCTTTTGTGTGCTATCAACAATCCACTTTCCAAAGACGTTGCTATGCCGACAATGGACCTTTCCCACATACCGACGGCACCAGGCGGTGACTGCACGAACTAAAAATCGAGGAAGTGACCTACCCGCGCTACCAATCGATAATGGGAGCTACGCTTACAGTTTCTTCGCTTTCTGAGCTGCGGCGCGTGCCCAACGCGACTTTAAAAAGGGGAAAGAAAAACAGGACTCAAACGACGTGTTTTTCTTTCCGTCCACTCTCTTTTTTTGTTTTTGTGTAACACAATTATATACATGCTCCAATTACGTGTTCTACTCGCTGAACGACAGCCTACTTCCGAATTTCCTCGATTTTTCGTACCGATTTCCGCCGCTTGGCATCGGGCGCTCGCGCGTGTGCATAACGCTTCTCGGAAAAGGTCCATTATCGCGTTAATTTAGGCTTAGGAGTGCCCAGAATCGAAACACTATCTAAAAAATGAAACAATGTCATTGCCCATGCCTTTGCGGTTTAGGTGAGGTAAGGCAAAGCGAAAGCCTCCTGCACAATTCGTTGCTGACTAACGCGCCCGATGTTGCAACTACAACGACATATTAGTTCCCAAGCGAGCGGCGCTCACTCACTGGGGCACCGCCATGTTTCCCCGCATCCCTACCGAGCCAATCACGTGATCTTAAAATTCCTCTCCTAGGTACTGTGGCTAACTTTAGCCGCGGTTAGTGGTTCGAGCAAACGGGCCCTGATTGATAAGCATATTCCTGTTATTTTTACAAAGGCGTGTCCGTGGTATGACACCAGCCTGAGACGCCTGGGGAATAAGAAAGAATAAAAAACATCTATTTAGACGTGCCAGCTACCGTGCCAGTCCCTCCGACTGGCAGCCATACCAGAAGTGCGAAACGGAATATAAACAAAAAGTTGCTATAACTAGACATTCTTCCTACCAAATCACTCTCCCGAATAGGTTTCGTACAAACCCCAAAACATTGTGGACAATAATAAACCCTAAATCACCTGATGCATTAGGTATTATCGCTATATCAGGAAATTTACTATTTGACCTCGAAAGTGCTCGTGTTTTGAATTCTGCTTCTTCGGGAGTATTTTCATGTGAGAATACGGCCCTTCCTGTTTTGGATGCGTTTTTTGAACATTTTCAAATGGAAAGCATAACGATTCATTGATCTGGTGTTGTAAAACTAATTGATAACTTGAGGTTTTTTCTTCGAGTGGTCAAGACAAAATGAATTCGAAAGTTTTAATGAATTCTAAAACGCTATTTCTTATTATTTCCGCAATCGTTTCACAGTCATTGCTTAGTCACTCAGTTCCAGTGACTGGAAGGCCCCTAAAATTATCCCGTTATTTAAATCAGGTAAACGCATCTCCCACTTAAACTATCGGCCAATATCCATTACGAGCATAGCCTCTAAAATAATTGAACATATACTACATTCGAACAGCATTCGGTTTTTAGAGGAAAAAAATTAATTTTTAATTACCAGCATGGATTCCGGAAGGGTCAATCCTGGGAGACTCAACTCGCAGGATTCATTAGTGGTATCCATCGTTGTATTGACTTAGGTTCCCAAACTGATGTTATTTTTCTTGATGTCACCAAATCGTTCGACCGGTTTCGCATAAGCGTCTGGTGCAAAACCTTACCCATCTAAAATTAGTTAGTAACATCATCCTCTGGATAAAAGACTGGCTTTAAGACCGAAGACAGCACACGTTCGTAAACTCTCATAGTCCAACTTCTATCCTTTTGCCTTCGGGTGTACCTCCAGTGCCCGTCCTTTAAATCTTGCTTTTCTTAATGCAATTTACTGACTTACCTTCATGTATTTCCGACCGCATTCGTATATTCCCAGACGACTGCGTTGTATACATACGAATTTATAACTAAAAAGGTAGCATTCAACTAAAAGATGACCTCACTAACCTATCATCGTTTGTCGACTTGGCTCATAAAGCTTAACTCTTCTAACTGCAAACTCATTTCATTTTTTTAGAAAGGAAACCTTTTTTTTTCATAACTATTCTATTGATTTTAACGTTCTTGAGTCTGTTTCCTTTTACAAGTACTTAAGGGTTCACGTTGACTCGCATTTCTTTTGAAAAATACATCGTCGGTCACTGTTATCATCGTGCAATCGTTCTTTGGGCTACCTGAAATATACACTTATTGTTCTCCTTCTCACTTAAGAGAAACTGCATACATTTCATTAATTCGGCCGAAACTTGAGTACGCATCGAACATCTGGGATCTTAACCAAACCTATTTCGCCACTGAAGATCAGCTTTTCAAAATTGAGTCATGCGCTTTATTTTTTTCTGAATAATCGCGACATTCCAGCGTCAGCTTATTAAAACAAAAAGCCGACCTTCAGAACTGGCCTTAATTAGCAAGCTTTCTCGCTTATGCCCTTTACATCGCATTTACTATGCACCATCCCTCAGCCAAGGCACCCTGACGCAGTCGCATTTAAAGGGGCCATGAAACGAATTTTGGGTTGGGATGAATGATTTTAAATTGGGACTTTACTAATCGCATATCGTCTAGTTGGCTAAAAGAAAGAGGCTAGAAAGTCAAAAGCCAGCTTTTCGGTACGAACATTTGAAAATATAGCGGACTATTTTGTACCTTCTTGCCTTCGAAAGCTCTCCACCTTCTCACTATGATACATCCGCCGTTCCAAAAGCGCGCCACCGGCGCCAAACTGACGTCAGCAAAGCCCAGCTGACGCATTGGACACGAGAACTGCGTCACTCGGACGTATGTGCTCGTCAACAATCAATCCGTTGACGAATATTTGGATTCGCGTTCGTGGCCAATGAGTGCCCTGACGGAACTTATTGTCACTGGGGAATGACAAGTTCTATGGTGTGCAAAAAAAGCACGGTGGAACCTAGGAGTCATCGCAGCAGTGCCGAAGAAATGTCACGACCAAGTGATTTCACAATTCGTATTTGAGTTGAGGATTAAAGCTAAGGAGAAAGAAGTAGGAAAATCGTTTCATGACCTCTTTAATCACACCTCGTCCTTATCACGCGTGCAAGAATGGCCGTTTCACCTGCCGCACTTGTATTCTTTCTTCACCAAAATAGCACGGAGGTGGAATGATCTGACAGAGCGCATCGACACCGACACTAACCCCGATTGTTTTCGCTGTCTTATAAGCAGCCATTTAGGTATTGTTTGAGACACGACTTCTTGCACGTTTGCACTGCTCTCCTGTGCAAGTTTTTTTTTTTTTATATATGCTGTACTTAGCCGGCCCCCCCCCCCCCCCCCCCCCCCCACCATGTAACGTCCTTCCGAGTAGGACCTTTAAGGTATTTCAATAAAAAAAATAAACGTTTCAGCTTCCCCTTAAAATAACACGGGGCCTGCTCTATTTTAAAACTGCTTCGTGACTTGTGATTCGTTCGGTGATTTTACCGGCTGATATATCAGTCTCATTGAGTGTGGTGCGATAACGGGATGCGCTGGACTTGTTCCTTTCCGCGTTTATGGAACTTCCAATCAGCGTAGCTGACCTCGAACCGAAGCATAATCTTTACTTAGCTCAGATGACCGAAACTGGCTTTACTGTGAAGTATACTTTATTTATTATTCGACATAAACAATCCAGCGCTACAAGAGTGAAGCAGATACCCCATAAAAGATAAAACGTGCAAACGACGTCATTATTAGTCAATCGCCCAATCGCTGCAATCGGCAAACCCGCTAAGGCTCGACGAGGGACGATGCCTATCGGCAGACGCTTCCGTCATGGCGTCGACGCATGTGGGCGTCTCAATAGTGTTGAGACGCCTCGAGAGACGCTGGCGGCGATGATGACGTCAGCCAGGTGAGGTTGCGAAGATTCACAAGTGCCCACGTTTGGAGGGTCATCTAAGAGGCATCGGTGAAGCGCGTGAGCTACAGCCCGCCCGCGATGTCCACAGCGGCGCCCGTCATGAAAGAGCTTCCGGGACCACAGAGGAATACGATGACGTCAGCCACCTCTTCTGGGCGGCTGACTCTCTTTAGAGGAATGAGCTCCACCATCCTCTTTCTTTCGTCGGGCTTTCTATTCGCTCCGGAGATGGGCGTGGTCGTGAGTGCAGGCAGGACGCTGTTGACACGGATGCCCTGCGAGGCGAGCTCCTTTGCCGCCACTTTGGTGAATGCCTCCAGCCCAGCTTTGGACGCTGCGTATGCGGCGCGGTAGGGAAGGCACAGCTTTGACACGAAGCTTGAAATGTTCACGATGGCCCCATCGCGAACGTTTCCTGCAGTCATAGCCCGCGCCGCTGCTTGGGTTATCAGGAACGTGCCCTGCGAGTGTGAAGAAATACCGCGTAAACTGATGTTCTCTCGTTTCTTTTTTCTTTTCTCAGTGGGTCTACTTTTTTAGTGTATTATGATTGCTGCCAGATTAAAGGGATAGTTAAATTAAAGTCGAAATATATCTCTAACATCAAGAAATAAGTCACACATCATCAACGGTGTCGGGTAATGACAATCGCGCATTAATTTTTTTAACGGATGGCTATATTTATATCTAACATGCATATTTACGTTTACGAGCATGATTAAAAAGGTATTAATCTTTTTTTTATCATTTAACAAACGCGGCATGCCGTATCTGTACGTCATTGTTAGTAATGATCTGTTAGGGGGTTTGAAGTTGTTTTTTTTTTTTATTGTGTTGCACACAGGACACAGTCATGCTCTTTACGGATTTATCAGAATGATCGAGACAAGTTTACAGATATTCAGGAGTGGAGTGTAAGATGAGACTTTACTGGGAAGTTACCACGGATCCTGAATATGCTAAAGAATATAACTGACCCTACGACAGCTTTTGCTTAGTAGGAACAGCTAGAGGCTCACAGCCCTCGCGGTTTTCCATTTTAAATTTGGACGGATGGCTGTCGCCATCTATTTTTGTGTGAACCCGTCGAGACATCGGAAGCAGCCGTGTCTGCTGCCTTGGCAAATCCGGTATTTCGGTGCGTCAGCCGCAGCCCTCTCCATCGGCGCAGCGGGAAAGCTAAACAGCGCCGATAGCACAATGCACAAGCATTTTCTGCTACGGTAAATTTCCAAACCACTCGGGAAAGGTGTGGCGCTCAAAAACCCACTGCCTAATGCACATGACCAAAGTAGAACGTATGCTCCCAGTAAAGTATTACGTTTCCGCGTTTTCTGAGGGTGCTTGTAGAGCCTTGAGTACTCCGTGTCTTTGGATTTCGAGGATCCTCTAGTGGTAACTGAAGTAATCTCTAGTGGATGAAGTTTATCACACCCGCTAATCTCTCCATTGGCTGCTTTGTCGTGACGTCATATGCAGGCTCCTCTATCCTTTGGCACGTCATTACCTGCCCCCTGATTTTATAGAGTCACCTGAGGAGCTTCTCTTCTCCGACGGTCGCCCGTTCGCGCAAGCTACCGTGTACCACATTTTGTCCTCATGTTTGCTCTCTGTTACCTTCTCTCGCAACGCCGCAATAAAATTAAAAATCAAGGATGTCGGGTTGCGAATCCCACAATCCGGAGTTCGATTTCAAGTGAGCCGGTTGCTAAATCTGGCTTCTTACATTGAATTAGCTTTAATTGTGAGTACGGAACATTACCTAAGATTCTGTAGCTTTTTTGTTTTTTTTATTTATTTTTGGGGGGCGTTTATACATTGCCTACTATGGGATTTGTATGCGTTATACAGGGTGTTTTACGGAAGGTGGACACATACGATATTTCGAAAACTACGCGTCGCAACAAAAAAGGTTTGCGTCGGTTTGGTCCTGGGCCAGGGTCCTATTTAGGAAAGTTATAAAAGTTCAAGATAATTAAGTTGTTAATTCATTTCGCGTAATTAACTTTTTTAATATTGTGTTTAAGGGCATGATTTCAATTCGAAAATTCCCCAGCATCTTTAAAAAACCCTAAATTAACAAATTGAAGAACAATAGAGGGCACGCGAAGCATTTTACGGCTTTCTAAAAAACCGCACAAATTCGACGGATTTTCAAGTTTCGGTTTCCTATCGGAGCGCATCTCGGCCCCGGCGGCGCCGCGCCCCGTGGAGAGATAGAGCAATGAGCCTCTCCTGCGTCGCGCGATGACAGCGCAGCAGAGGTTGGTTGCACTATCTCTCCACGGGCCGCGGTGCCGCCTGGGCCGAGATGCGCTCCGATAGGAAACCGAAACTTGAAAATCCGTCGAATTTGTGAGGTTTTTTAGAAAGCCGTAAAATGCTTCCTGTGCCTTTTATCGCTCTGCAATTTGTTGATTTAGTGTTTTTTGATGATGTTGAGCAATCTTCTAATTGAAACCATGTCCTTAAACACAATATTGAAAAGTTAATTACGCAAAAATAATTCACACCCTACTTATCCCGGACTTTCGTGAAACACCCTGTATATTGTCTTGGCTGATGTGTACTATATTTGCTCACACCTTAGGTTGACTCTCTTCGCATAAAGTCCAGCCCACAAAGGAATTCCGTGTTTGAAAAAGACGATATACTTAGTTCGAGCGTTTTATTGCCGATAATTTAATTTTTTCCGGATGCGCGTAAAACATATCGTGGTGTTCCTTGTTTAAATGTGAACTGAAACAGAACGAATTAACGTCGTGCTTAAGGCACCTCCGTTTGATGTGTTTTTTTTTTTTATCTTTTCTCACATGACTTGAAAATGTCATGATCAGCTTAGTTTCATATGCCTCGAAGTTAGCGAAATTACCTTTAGATTTACTCGGATGATATTATCAAACATCTCTTCCGACATATCAACAATTGGGGTCATAATGTTTGGAATGCCGACGCAGTTAACCACGATGCTTGCAGGCCGAGAACACAGCCTGGAGACATTCTCGAAGAGCAGAGCCACAGACTTCGATTGGCCCACATCTACCTGGAGTGCTTCATGTCCATTACCTGCGCAGATGAAACGACCGATTGAGACGACACATATGCATACACACTGTTGCATTCTTCGCGAACGTCATGCTACTTGTAAGGGCGCATAAAGCGTGATCCAAACCAACGCGTGTTTGTGCTCGCGTAGGCCGTGCGACTCCCGGAAATTGCGAAGTTTGTGACGTCGCGATGATTCATGGCGCCTTTCGGGCGCGCATAAAGCGGGTTTAGACATGCAGCGACTCCGCGGCCGAAATCGCTCCCTCTAGCAGCGCGGCAGCACATATTGCGAGATTTCATTTCACATAAGCGTCTTCTGCAGTTGCGATGGCCAGTGTTGTTTGCAGCAAGGAGATGTGCACCGTCGGTTACAGCGGCTTCTAACAACAAGTTTAAGGCCTTAGTTTTCAGTTTTCCCTTCAATTTCACCTAAAGAAATCAAAAACAAAAGCTTTTAAAATACTAAATAAACCTTCACCTTACTTTTCTCTTTTTTCAAACTTCGTTGTCGAGGAGGATGAAACCTCGATCATCCTCGGCAGCGTCATGGGCAGCGTCTCCCTCGGATGTAAAGACTCCAACTAATATGGCCGACCCGAACCTCCTGACGGCGTTGGAGCATTTTTGGCATTTTCGTAATTGGGGTATGTGGTCATTATCCGGAGTAGGTCCTTCTACGAAGAATGGAAGAATGCCTTTGGTCCCATTGTTCCTAAACTCTTTGAGATGCGCGTCCCAAAGAACCCGACACTTCGATATTTCACTGATAAGTAGGTCATTGAACTGGGCGCGATACATTTCGTCTTACTTGGTGTGACGATCTTGGTTGGAAAAGACACCTCAATGTCGCTCAGTTCTTCTTCTTTTCTTTTTCTCAGTATCGCACAAGCCGCTTCCGATTAGCGTCTCTTGCTCTCGCTAGTGTTGATACTCAGGCGAAGAAAGTAAAAAAAAGCAGTGTATTTCACTTAGAAAACAAATTCCGAGAAAGGGGACAGCAATCCCCATCCTCCATATTCTCCTGAACAGTTCCGACGCGACTGCTGAAGCAAAGAAGCTCGACCCGCCGGAAAAAAAAAAAACCGCAAACCAGTCGCCAGCGTACTTTCTCTGCTTGTCGTCTGCTTCAAGAAGGTGAAAACGCCGCCGTCCTAGCTTTGCACAAGGTTTTCTTAAATGTTCTCCTGTCACGTGATTTCCCGCCGCGCTGTGAGTGGCCAGCGCGGAAGCTGCCGCTCTGCCGCGGCGAAAAGTTTCCAACCTGGTGGGACTATGCCACTCACCCGCTGCGGCTGGCCAGAGCGCCACGACGGCAGAAATCGCGCCGCTCTAGGGCCAGAATCGCTGCATGTGAAACCCGCTTAGTAGGATGATTTCAACTTTATCTGAAGGCGCACCGTTTTAACCAACGCGCACGGTTGTGACTCAGAAAGCGCCGCAGAAACAGCAAAGGCGTCACAAAATACGCAATTTCCGGGAAGCGCATGGCCTGCACGCACAAAAATGCGCGTCGGTTGGGATCGCGCTTAAGGAAGGCAAGGGGTGAACCTTCTTTCCTCAGGAAACTCCTTCATCTGTTATAGACCGTAGTGCTGAAAGAGGTCGAGAGACAAGGGTGAAAGAGCTGCAACGCACTTTACTCCTTGCTGGGTTGGGTTTGAAACAAAAAAAAACAAAAAACAACCGGGACGCAGTGTTGCCAACCGTACGGTAATTACCCTACTTGTAGGGTATTCTAGGCATTTTAGGTAAACTGTAGGGTTGTAGGGCCGTCCGGCCAGTTCCCCACCAGAAGTAGGGTAGTTTCGGACGTTGTTTCTTCAACGGCGAGCATTATACAACCAGCAAAAACACAGTAAAAAAAAAAAAAACTGCCATGCAAGTTTTGCTTAGCTTTGCAACTCGTGTGCTGCCACACCACGACATCATGCAAAACAAAAATATACAAGTTACAAGACGTGCTAACAGAGAGCACCACACACCAAGTTGGAGTAGAGGGGTTTTAAGTTGGAGTAGGGTGCCTACATGTCTGTCTGTTTAGGATGAAGGTATCCATGGTTGCCTTGAATGTGCCAGCGCGTGACTCTCTGGCGCACTCGGCGCGTGACTTGGGCGGTAAAACGGCGTCTATGTATTATCCAAAGTTACGCGCTCGAGCTGAGTGACACCAAATTATCGCGCACTTCAAAATGCATTAAAAAAAAAACAATTGGGTCGAAAAATGGCTGAGATGTCACCACTCAAGCAAAACCGCGCGTGTGTATGAAGCACTCTAAGTCGGAGCAGAGCCTAATATACGGCTCTGAGTTGGAGAGTATTGAAGAGCTGGAGCAAGTGGGAGAGCCGCGAGGAGTGGGAGTTGCACAGAGGGAGATTGGAGCCAGAAGGGATATCTTCCCAGTGGACAGGTTTCCGCCAATTTTTCTCTGATGGCTCTGGTCCATCCGGCGGTCCTTGTTACACCTGCGAAACACGTAGCACCGCGGGCGGAATCATCCCGAGCCCACCAGAACCGTTAGCCACCTGTTCAACTGGGCTTTTCGACGCGCTGATGTAAGGTGCCTTTGCTGCGGATAGCCATAGCTGGAACTACCGCTTGACCTGAGCGCTCTTTTGCTGTGGCGCGTTGCAATTAACTATTTCCTTACCACGCCCATAGAGCGTCGATCACCGATGATCGACGAGTACAGAGACCATTTGAAAGCTCCCACGGAGCTTTGAAATCGACGAATACGGCGGAATACGGAAGAGCCGCCGGTTTCCTATCCACCCTGGTGTATTAGCCTAGTTGATCGAAATAGTACCTTAGTTTGGCGAATCCCTAGGCGGTACACCCAAAGAAGCTAATAAACCGCTCATATTGGCTTCCTTTTGTAATAAGCCGCCTTGTCTGTCGCCGCGAGTGCTGGTCCCACGTAGTCCAGCTAAACGTGTTGGTTGGGGATGTCTGTGCGCTCGCTACATCACTATTGTGCTGATGATACACAGAGCACATACAAGCATGGTGTTCTAGAATAACGGGGGTATGCGCGTGCGTGCGTGCCCTGTTGCTTTGTACTGTATTACTATTACCCTGAATCATTATAATCCTTGCAACAGTATTATTTGAACAAAAATTTGCCTCGTATAGCTAAAATGTGGGGTAATAAGAAACATTCGAAGGGTAGTGTAGGGTTTTCTGGATGCTGGCGAGGGGTATTTTCGAAAGATAGGTTGGCAACACTCCCGCGACGGCGGTCTTGAAATTGTTTTTTTACCGGACAGCGTCACTTTGTCACGTCAATGAGAGGTGCAAAAAGTCAGCTTCCCTCCGCAACCCAGCGCGGCCGCAGCATCCGACGCACTCCGAAATGCGTTGTGCTATTCAAGAGGGCGCTGCCCACGAGGAAAAGGTCCATGGTCACTGCCATGGTGATAACGCGAGCGAAGAGCTTCAGTTGTCCAGCCTCCAGGGCGAGCTTCCTTCCTTCGACAACGCAATAGCCTCCTCTATACTCACAAAGCCTGGCAGTTCGACGACGGAGCCATGGGTGCCTGGTCGCAGACTTGGAGCGCGAGGATCTGGTAGCACAGAGCATCGAAGAGCCATTTCTCGGGGAACCTAGAGTTCCTGTATAAGCTCCCTACAGGTGCCAGAGTTGCACGTCTGTTTTCCACGGGCCGCCGTGCCGCTATTCGCCGAGAGCCGATCACGTGAGGAGTCGGATCAAGTGTCGTACAGGGGGGCTAAGCTCGGCGCGGCGAGATCGAGGCGAGTTCTCCGCCAAACTCGCCGACCGCCGCGATTGGTCGGCGCCGTGCATGACGACACGCGCCGACACTCCCTAGATCGTGACGTTAAACGGAGGGTTTGAGGCAGTCGGAGAGTTGCATATTCGGAACTCGCGGCGAGATGCGGTGACGTCACTCTGACGTGGCAGAAGCCGCCGCGGATGGGAAAAGCTTGCCGGCTCCGACCTACGCGAGTTTGGGCGAGTTGAGCGCGAGATCAGGGAGAAGCGTCCAAAATGGCAGCGTTTTCGTTCGTGTTTTGCCGTATGCATAGGTATTTAAACCACGCCAATGTGTTTGACATGGACGACGTTCATTTCCAACAACACTATCGCCTCTCGAAAGACGTGGTAAGGTGGCTGTGCGATGAACTGCGTGGCGAACCGGGCTTGAGGCGATGGAGCCGTGAATGAACCGTCGCCCCCGTCGTGAATCCTACATCCAAATTCGACAAAGTGAATCCTAGAAACAAATGTGTTTTTACGGCAATCTGTAACCAGGAACGCAATTTACCATTACCTACAGACTTTTACAATTATTTTGATGGGTTGCTGTGCTCCGTAGATGCAAGATAAACGCACTTGATAAAATTCAAACTAAAACAGATGATAGAAGAAAAGCAATATACATGAATGGCGCAGACTAACAGTTGTGTAATTTCTTTCTCATCTTTCTTCCTCCACACCGTATTTTGACAAGCAAATTGGCCATTAGTTGTTTATACAGCAGGAGAACATGCCAGAACATTGCGACATTGACACCTACTGTAGATAAGCAATTTAGCAAGTGCAGTATGACTGCTATCCTAGGGTCTTTAACGTGCACCACGTAGTAGTGATACACGACCGCATGCCGGTACGATGCTCATCAACATCGAAAAGGGCAGGGGTGGGGGTGAATCCACGATCCTGGGTTCTGCAGCGCGAGCTTTCGCTCCACGTGCATCCTATTTTGAAAAAAACAAAACAAATGTGGCTGTGTGGCGGTGTGGGGGGAGAAAGATGAGAAAGAAATTACTCAGTTGTTAGTCTGCTCCATTCCTGTATGTTGTTTTTCGTCTATACTCTGCTTTAGTTTATATCTTTATCAAGAGCGTTTTTCTTGCATCTACGTGGCGCAGCAAACCATCACAATGTCTAGTCAACTAGCCCACATCCAAGCAATGTTTGTATAATTAGCATCCCTGGATCGCTAGGTTGGACATTTGAGAAAAGGTACATGGAAGTGACGTAATGCAAAGGAGGAGC